AATACTCGGAGAAGCGTTTTCCGAGATACTTGATCTGGTGACGTGAAAGATGGATCTGGAGTGTAATTCATTCCGTAATTTGATTCGGTGCTTCGAGTTAAGATATCGAACTGGATGTTGTCCGGTACTAGATTCAGTTTTTCGAAACGGGCGTCATCTGTGTTGGCTAATTCTGCGTTGAATCGTTCCATTTTCAATGATAGTAGATTCCTAGCTAGATCCTTTGCTTCGTTGAGTAAATCAGAGTTTACTGTTTCCTTTTTCTCTCTTGCTGGCAGAGCTCCCATGAATGCTTGTAATACTTGTTGGGCTTTTGGAACTGATAGGGAGTCCGTTACTGGTCCTGGAGTGAAGGTTAGATCCTTGGCGATGAATTCTGCCTTTTCTCTGTATGTTTCGCCTAGCGCGGTGAGCATACGAGAATCGAATTCGGTGACGTTGATACGTTGACCTATTTGTTCCAAAAGTTGTTGGGAGTTGAGATATCTGATGTTCGCTCTGACTGTGGCATAGAGTTCGGATCTTCCGAGATACTGCATGACTGCTTCTTCAGCGTTGGTGTAATTATGAATTTCCATAAATGATTTTAATCCTTGTGGTGTAATGCCTGATTTCATAATGAAGTGGATTTTATCTCTGTGAGCTGTGGCATAAGTGAGAATTGTATATGATGGGTCTAATATTTTTCTTTTCTTCACTATTTGCCATAATTGGGAAATGCCAGGGTTGCTCATCAGTGGGCGTAGAAATGGATATGGGCATACTGATAGCGTGGCTGTTTCGGGATCTGTCCTTGATTGAATCCATCTTTTGTCCAGAGGGAAGTCACAATTAGTTGTTGATCTTCTGGTTCTTTTCTTCGCATTCTTGTACTCTCGTTCGATCAATTGGTAGATATCATCATCTTTTGGGAATTGAGGTATGGTGACGTAGTTTCCTGAAGTAGTGTGAAAAACTGGCGTCTTGAAGCATCCTCGAATGGCTTGAGGTATCTCGTTATGATCAATGACGAGTACTGTCTGCGTGTTTGGGATAAGGATGATGTTGTCTCCAAAGGTGGCGTCATGCGTGTTCAAATCCATATAATCACATCGTTTTTCATAGCTTTGTGGTGTCCAAACGATGATAGATGTATTTGATTTGCAATTTCCGTGATGTGCTAAACATCCTTCGGTGTTAAGTAATAGATCAGAGATGATTGATTCATCAGGCATCCTAGTCATAATTCCGTGTTCTAGTATAATCCTTGGCTTTTCTTCGCATGAGTTCTGATTCCAAGATCGTGCTGGGTTATAGGTTGGCGTTGGAGTGGCATACAGTTTAGGTTGAATTTCCTCTAGATTGGTGTCGTTGATCTTTCTGTCTCTCACGATATCATTACAGTCGACGACTGATATCGGTTCAATTTTGACTATGGATCGGCTGTAATCTCTGAGGAATAGTATGTCCTTTACGCAAATTTTGTGTACTTCCTTTGTACATCTCCAGGCGTCCCATTCGTGGGCTGTGACATTGCGCGTGTAGAGATGAATCTTGGTTTTCAAAACATGGCGAGGCTCGAATTGCGTACAGCGTCTAGCAGTTGGAGGTAGAAGTAAGACTCCTCCTTTGGCTTTGGTGCATGTCTGGTACGTGGCTTCGGCTGTGCTTAGGATAGTTAGGCAAATGAATGCAAGCAGAAAGGGTGTGCAGAGAACATTATTCACTTTCCAGCTGGTTCTTCTTATACTATTCCGAGGTTTGAAATCATTCCTTGCATTGTTTTGTTCGCGTTGATCTGGTCGAGCGAAACGATTCTGCGGAGGCCTTTGCTGCTGCTCATTTGGGTTATTCCGTGGATTACTATAGTTCTGCTGATATCGGTTATTGGTCCAATTCCTATTTGGATTGCGGTTGTCCGTCCAGTTCCTGTTTTGCGTGCGGTTATCAGTCCAGTTACTGTTACGGTTGTCAGTCCAAGTCCTGTTTGGATTGCGGTTTTTATTGCCGTAACTGTTAGTTCTTGGTGCTGTTCTATCGATCCTTTCTGTGAATGGGCGAAGTGCCTTGTTCACTGCATTAACTAATAACTCTTGCGGGTCTGATACTTGGAGTAGGATAGCTTCTTCCATTCTTGCTTGTTCTATGGCTTCATTGAATGTCTTTGGATTTTTCCTCATGACGTGTTTCTTGATTGATGCTTTAAGTCCTTTGTTGAAAGTCATCCTTAGGATCTTGTCCTTGGCTGGATCTTGATCCGCGAAAGCCATTGAGCTGAGCTGACGTAGAGTGTGAGCGTACGCATCGACTGAAAGGTCTCCTTGCGTTGTACTTTGAAGTTTCATTAGAGATGCGGCTTGGTTGTATTCTGGACAGAGGATTGTTGAAAGTTGGCTTAACAGTTCTGTCCAAGGGCCTGTTTCTCGAAGATCTACGGATAACGATTTGTAGGCTTCATCGGCTACGCTACATCGTAATAGTAGTGGAAGAATGGCAAGGCGTTCCGGTAGTACTAGTCCTAATGCGTTAGTGAAGACATTGAATTTATCAATGAAGTGACGGAAGCTCTTCGTGCCGTCGTAGATAGGACAATATGGTGAGGAAAGGGCTGCGGCGATGGTGGATTTTCCTGCTCCTGGGAGATGGTCAATGGATTTTTCGGCGTTGCTTGGAGCCATTTTTGGAGTTTTCTTCTTGATTGGACGGGGTGGAGAGGAATTGGTTGGGCTACTGGATGGTGACGTGGATGGTGGGTGATAAGTGTGGTCTGACGATGCTACTGGTGAAGTGGATGATGAGAACAAATCAGATTGTGGAATAATAGTGTTTGAATCAACAGTATTCGGTATAATTGTGGAATTTGAGGCAATTGTATCAGTACGAGAGGATGTAGAGACAGAATCAGGAATTAATGATGAATCGGAAACAACAGTACTTGAACGTGAAGAGTTTAAAACAATTGTATTTGAAGGAGACGAGTGTAATGAAGAATTTGTAATATCAGTACTTAGAGCAATAGGTTTGGATGAGTCAGAAACAACAGTATTTGAACGTGATTGATTTGAAATAATTGAAGAAGGATTCGATTGTGAAGTTTCAATATGATTACTTGGATTGGAAGAATCAGAGTCAATAGTGTTGGAACGAGAAAGATTTAATTGAGAATTTAATTGAGAATTTAATTGAGAGTTTAATTGAGAAGAAGTATCAATATGAGAACTTTGAGCAATAGAATCGGAATTGAGAGAATCAAGTTTGTTCAATGGTACAGAAGAATGTGAAGCTTTGTTGTTACTGGTTAGAGCGTTAGGCGACGATTCGTCTTGCCTTGGAGAAGTATTGAGAGTTTGGACTAAACTTTCTTTTTGTTTAGTTGACTTCGGAGAAACTTTCCGGCTCAAGAAGGAGAAAACAGAACTGGCAAGTGAAGTTTTTGGAGAAGCTTTTGGAGAAGCTTTTGGGGTTAAGGTTCTGTTTGCTTCTTCTTGAGTTGTTGAAGCAGAGTTGTTAGGTCGCAAAGGTGTTGTAGCCGTTACCTGATCTTCCGTTCTGAGCTGCTCTCCCGTTGGTCTGGCACTTGGAGTGGAAAATACGTCTTCTTCTTCAGGTACACTGGTTAGTTCGCGTTGTTTCTTGTTCCGTTGTCTGGCTTCACGGAGGACGTCGTCAAGAGATTCGGGATAGGGTTCGGCGCCGGTGCTCCTGGTTCTCTTGCCTACTGCCTGCGGGGTCCTCGGTGAGTTGTGGTTATCCACCTTCTTTTCTTTGAACTGGAAGTGTCTGGCGTGTCGTTCAACAACGTGTGGGATTTTGGCAAAAGTACTATGAAGTAGAAAGAGTTAGTCTGGACTGTCTTTTCCTGAATAAGTTTCGGAAAAAGAAAGACGAGGTTTTGGGTGGGTTAACTGTGTTTCAGTCCTCGCTTATATACTCTTTTAGGTTTTGCGATAAGCTTTTTTTTTTTCAAAAAAACTTCTGTTCGTTTTTTAGGTTGTAAAAGCTGGATTTTTCGTCCTTGAAATGTTTCAATTGTTCTAATTTGGTTTGTTTAATGTGCTTAGCGAGTTTTCTTTTAATGACGTTTCGGTAGTTCTAGTTGTTAGAGTAATTGGCCTAATGAAATGGCGATGTTATCTCTTTTCAAGAATTTTGGAATGTTAGTTTCTTGATCATAGGACATTACGTTAAGGTCAAGAGAATGCTATCTACTTGAAAATCTCGAATTCTTAAGTTCCTAATTTGTAGAACATTACATTGAAGGTATTATCAAAGGAGAGTTAAAAAGATTTTTAATTTCCTAATAAAGAAGTGGGTGGGGTGTAGGTAGTAGCTATTGTGTAGAAATTGGTATAAAAAGGTTTAATCGGGTTAGTGAATCATTCACTTTTTCTAACTCGAAAGGTAAGTAGTTAGATTGATTTTATTTAATTTTTCTTTTATTTCAGTTAGTGTTTGTTAAAGAAAGGGAAAAAAAATGTCAGAACGTGACTCCATCGTATGTGTCGCAGGTTGTGCTTGCAGTGTGGAGGCATGTGGGTTATTCGCTGCTCTGCCGGAGACTCAAAAAGATTTTCGAACATCGTCGGTAATCATCGTTTTTGGCCTCGAGCGGATGAAGTACTACATTCATCAAGAGATAGCACATCTTTGCTGGCTCTACACTGCTCTCGATAAGGAGAGTTTGGCTATTATTAACAATGGGCCTATGGAGGCCGAATCGTTCATAGAGCGCTGTCAGGAGCTGCACCGGTTATTCCGGAAGCTTGCTCATGTGAACGATAACCATGATATTAAAGCGGCTATTGCAGCTTGGAAGTTACCAACCGACTCTCTGGAATTGCGTTCCTTCGTTAAAAATTTTGTTGACCACGTCCAGTATGAGACGAGGAAAGAGATGATGAAAAGGGAGGATCATCTAGATCAGCTAAAAGTGTTTTTAGCCTACCTGGACGGCGAGCGCTGGTCCGGATCCGGCAGTTAAAGTGATAACTCTTTTTTTTTTTTTTCGTTTTGTTAAATTGTATCATTGAAATAAACTTTTTCTCTGTTTTCTCTCTTTTTTTTTTCAAAAAAAAAAATTAGTCAATGAAATTTTTGACATTAGTGTGTTTAAAATAGACTGTTCTATGGTCGGTACAATCATAGGAAAGATGGTTTTGACATCGTTTCTTTCTGGTTGTAGCGAACCCTCGATGCGAGAATAGCTAAGTGTTAAAAGAGGCAAAAAGGTTACCGGACGCAAGGAAGTTTTCCTTGAATCGTGGCTTAACCAGCACCACCTTGAGTTGGGTTAATTCTCAAGAATTTCGAACTAC